CTATAGCAGCATATGAACTCCAAGGCAGACCAAAATACTACTAGGCACCAGAAAAAGTGAAATATTTCTATTAGAAATCTTTGTTTGACACCTCAGCAGTATGGTTTTAGATTTTAGTACTGTTAACTTTCCGAAAAATAGGATTTTGCATTTGTGTGCATGTTTCCAGCAAAACAATGTTTTCTTCCACTAGAGATGAATTTAAAACCCACTACAAAGCAAACTACAGCATCTTCTGCCCAATGATGCCCAGTCATATACTTTGAAAGCTTTTTATATAAAAAACAAATCTTCTTTTCAATTTACATACAGTAAAAAACTGGTTGCATTTCAAACTTTGACTCTCTGCAAATTCCAAATACAATCTTCAAATTCAGGTGTCAACTTACACAAAATAGAAGTAATAATTGATAAAAACCTCAGTAGCAACACCCTATTACATACTTGAAAAATAAAGTAAGAAATATAATTTTAAAGCTGGATTTATAAACTTTGTTCAGTTGGTTGTCTCTCAACATCAACTGAACTTGAACTGAACGCGGAAGTCAATGACTGAATTTTATAAATGTCTACACACAATCTGCTTAGTTTGTGTTGAACTCAAACTCGGTGTAAACTGAACGCCTTCTGAATGAACGTTATAAAGCCAGCCTAAGGCCTAAAAATGTAGCCTAGTTCAGCCACAGTTTATAGCTATAGAATCAGTTGCGCTTACTCTGCCTTGGTACTTTTGATCTCAATGTTACAGTTTATACATTGCACAACTCAGATTTGTATCCCTGGCGCATACAGAATCAAATCATAATAGCTCAAGAGCCCAATGCAAATTTTTGCTGTCATCTGATAACAAAATTAAATATTCCCTAAAAGCATGTAAAAACATTGTACTTTACCAAATGACACCTTAATATTTTATATTATAAAATTCACATAAGGCATGAGTCTTAATTTTGTTTGTCCTTAAAGTTTTCCAGAAAATAACAATTTCAAATATATCTTGATATATATTATTAAAGGCAAATATTTTCTTCCTCAACATCGAACAAAAACATCTACACACAATTAGTAGGTAAAAATCATTAAAAATATGAATCAATTTTTGCTGATTTAAAAATTTATTTGTATGCCTATTGTTGTGATTCATTTTTACAGGTTGCCATAGACAAGACAAAAAAACTACTATAACTTATTTATTTATATTATTTATGGAACAAGCCCATTTAGGTAACAATAAGTTAAAAATTACATTGGCATATTTTGAATGTTGTATTTAAATCTATTTACAGAGGAATTAAATATTGTAATATTATCCAGTAAATTTGCGAGTCTAAGTATCCGAGGAATACAACTGTTAAAAGTACTATTAAGTCTATAAAATAGGAATATAAAATAATTGTGATTGCCTGGTATTACGAGTAGGAACAAAAAGATTAATTTTCGATAGAATTTCAGGACAATCATATATTCCATTAACAATATTAAAAAGTAAAATTAGGTCTCTGTTTTCTCCTGGTTTCCAAAGATGGTATTTCTAAAAAAAGAGTTTATAATTTGTATTGACTATCTCCGCAAATGGTTTATACAATGCCATCCTTCTTCCTTTCACACATACAAATGGTTAAAAAGGTAGGTAAAAATATTAATAATTCAGGTATAAAAGCTAGATTCACAATGAATTAAGATTGTAATTTTTAGGGCAACCACAATTGTCACTGTCATGTCTTATGTGATTTTTTAAATATAAAATATTTTTTTAACCACTATGCTCAGGGATTGGCATAGGTGCAATTTGGTAAAGTACAATGTAGTTACATTACTATAACCAATACAATATGACAACTGCCTACATTCAAACAGCATTCTTCTGTGCATCCAGAATTTGTATCCCTGGAGTGAATGCTATTTTGGAACATTCAATTGGTCAGAGTGAGCTAATTCATTAGCTATAAACTGTGGTTCAGCTTTGATTATCATTTAATAAGCACTTACTTTTTTGACAGCTCTTTTTTATATTTATAACATTTCCATCATTTTTTAATGTATTTGATATCTTAGCATTTTCTTCGCTGTCGCACAACTCTGTCAAACTTTCTTGATATTCAGTATTTTCATTTTTCAAAGTCGGTAAATCACAATGCGTAGTCAAAAGTTCAACTTTGGACTGAATATATTCATCAATCTCTTTCTTGATATCTCCGATATCCGTCGTAGTTTTAACTTCACTAGTTTCCTCCAGTTCTTTTTTAATAATTTTAGCACAAAATTGCACTTCTTTTTCGGACGTCGAATCACTGTTAATTTTTGGCAGCAAATCCGAACTTTGTTCAATTTTAGACTGTTCACATTCGATAATTTCTTCTTTAATTTCAACATTTCGTCCCGACGTATTGGTTTCAAATTCATCAAAAACATCATCTTCGTCTTTATACTTTTGTGTTATTTGTCTATAAATAAAATCGGTTTCACAAGTATCTAAACGTTCTTCTTGTTTGATATTCATCATTAATATAAGAATATTAAATAAACGATATCAATTTTTTATAGGTAAATGTTACTTTTTTTATGCACGTTGGAAGCCAAAAACAAATTTCAATGAAAATGGCAATTGACAAAAAAAACGCCAAACTTCAAAGATCAGTTGCGTTCGTTTAGTTATTCTATTGATACTTTTAGGTCCGTATTTATAAAGAACTCAGCTGAGTCGGACTTGGGTAAGTCGTCCTTGAACTAAAATCGAAGTTCGGTTACAACGACTCTAAAGTAGTGATGGGAAGAATCGGATACTTTCGAGAATCGAGTACTAAGGGTTCGAGTACTTCACGGAATCGGGTATTTTATTGAATAACGAGTACTGAATACTTGCATCAACAGAGTATAACGACGATCACCGACACCGATCCAATTATTAGCGATTCCAGCGTCTCGAACCTCGAACCCGACCCGACTCTATATTTTAATTCCGTCTCAGTGAGCACGTCAGCAGTGAGCAGCAGCGGTATAAGACGAATCGCGATTCGCAGCAGTATCGTCTAATATTTAAAAATCAGAATCGATTCTGATTCCGACGCTGGTCGTCAGTATTCGAATACTACCGATTCCTCTAGGAATCGGGTATTATCCGATTCCTGTACTCGAGTACTCCCATCACTACTCTAAAGTCCCAGGTGGCTCCAGTATTACAATGGAATTTAAAAATGTAACTGTTAAGTGCATTTACGGATTTGTTTCGAGTTTAGTTCAAGGACGACTTATCCAAGTCCGACTCAGGTAAGTTCTGTTTATAAATACGGGCATATGTCTGAGTTTTTTTGAAGTGAAATCTATAAAAAGCAAACATTAAAAATTTCCGCCAAACTCTACTGACAATTTCCGCAAAGTATCGACCGCTTCCGAGGCATCTCAAGTTTTTATTTTGATTGGCCAATTGGCCAATCTTAATAGATATGCCGCGTTTGAGAATCCACATCGGATGCATTTTTTACATCTCGAGCGGTTTTTTATCCACATCGGACACATCTGTTCCATTACATTTACGTATACTAAATCAGGTGATCAAAGATTTACACTCAGATGCATCCGATGTGGATTTTCAAACGCGGCAAGAGAGTCAAGAGTCAAGCATATTTGAATAAATGTTTTACTATGATGTCATAAATCGACGCAGTTTTAAAACACTAGGCTAGCCTGTTTATTATATATTATTCTTTACTACGATCAGCTACGGTTTGACGTTTGCTTCTGTCTTTTGTCAATCATTTTTCGTTTTGTTTTTAAGGTTAAAAACAACACAGACAATCTTACCCAGCATTTTATTTTTGTTTATTTGATTGTTTAAACTTTGGGTTGAACTTCCGTTAAAATGATGGATATAAAACAAGAACCTTTCGAATCGTGTGTTGATAAAATCCAAATAAAACAAGAAATTATAGAATGTGAAGAGTCCAAACTCGAACAATGTTTAGGTTCGGATTTGTTTTTATTGATAAAAATGGAACACAATTATGTGCGTGAATACGAATGCTTGCAAAATGTCTCTCCTAAACTTGAACAACATTCGGATTTGTTGATAAAAGTCGATCAAGATTACATGCAACAATGTGAACATTTGCAAAATGTCACTACAAATACTAAAAAAGAACATAAAGTGGATGATTTTTACGTAGATATCAATAATATTAAGCAAGAACCTAGTGAGAGTGAACTTTTAACTTTATTGACTACGTATTGTGATTTACCAACGTTGAAAGATGAAAATACTGCTTCTACAAGCTATTTGGATCAGCCCAGAAACAATAAACAAGCCAAAAAGGTATACAAATCGTTAAGAGATAGTCGCATACATGTTTCTAAGAAGAGAGTTAGAAGATATCCTCGAGGGTGTCCTTGCCCTGCAAGTCAAAACAGTAAGTGTTTTTTTTTTAATTTAACAATCTTTTTTATTGAATCATAAAATACAAAATTTTGTACAGATTGTTCCTCCTAGAGGTATATAAATTGAAACTAACACTAACAATGAAAATTCGGGAAGTAGTAGGTATTTACAACTTAAAAATATAAATGAAGTTGTTAGAAGAAAAGGGTTCAAGTGAAATTTTTTTAAAAATGATTTAAGTTCATTTTTTATTTAAAACTATACTATTCTGTTGGTAGTAAAATGATCAAAGTAATTTTTAATGTCTTAACAACATCTTTCAGCAAGAAGGTAAAACATGTTACTGAAAATGAGTAGTTTGTTAAGTGTACTTAAACCTGTTTGTCACAAGAGAGTTTTCACCTCTTGTAATTATTTAAGCATTCAATGGTGTTTTATGGGATATCTCAGTTTTTAAAGTGATTTAGGTATAACCATCATGATTAAGGAAATGAGTGAAAACTTAGTTCCTAAAGGTAACATTTTATACTAGACTATAACAAGAATTTTAATTTGTCAATATATTTTAAAAAAATCATTTGTGTGGTTTTCCTATAAAAAGGAGACATTCCTATTTTTTTTTTTGTTTAAAAGTATGGGAAGTTCCCTAATACCATTTTTGCAAATAGAAAAATGTTTTAAGCTGACACAAGGAAGACCAAATATCAAAATTACCAATTTGAACAAAAAATTATATCTTAAAAGTTTGAAAATAACTTATCCAAAGTGGAAAAACCTGAACCAACTTCTACCCTTTGTACCTCCCATTCATCATGAGTACTATAAATCTGTGCCACATGAAAACAGAACTGCTAAAAAAAAATTGCAAGCAAGAAAACAAGATGAAGAAAGCAATAATGACATAGATCCCAGTGATCTAATCAAGGCAAGGATAAAAATAAATTAGGACTATGATTAATAAAAACTCTACCTTAGATACTTACTGAATAATTTGTGTTTTTATTATTTTTACCCTGATGAGCTTTTTTAATAAACTATGTATCATGATATAGGTGTATTTTTTGGATGCAAAGGGATTTAAGTGCATTTTTTTTCAAAAAATCCAGGACTACATAACATTTTGTTAAAATATACTAAAATACTATTCTACCAGCCGGTTGCAAGAACGATTGTTAAAAAGTTAAAATCTCTCGTTAGCTAAAGAACAAATAACTAACTGAGATTAAAACTGGCAACGGCGCTTTTCCAACTGACAGTCTGTCGCCAGTGTTGTTCCTGGTTGTACAATTGTACAAAAAGTTGTACAATCAGTTATGCGGTTGTACTGTTGTACGCACTTTTGAAAAAAGACAGAAATGTTGTACAATTTGAAATTGATAAATATTTATCTAAAATCGGGTATATAAAAGGTTTTCTTCGCTCAAAAAGTCTACGATTTGTTAAATAGCATGCATTAAAATTAATAAAAAAATAAAAGTTTAAATTTGGCGCCATTCGCGACCAATCAGTACACCGTTTTACATCAAAAATCATTCAAAAATATATTTTAAAATGGAAAAAAAGAAGAATTTTAAGCATGGGAAAGTAGTAGGCAATAGTTGTCAATAAAAAAGAAGAAGATTAATTAGTGGTTGTACAATCGAAAGTAAAAGTGTACAATTTTGACACTGAAAGTTGTACAATTCAAAAATCCCTAGGAACAACACTGTCTGTCGCTTCACAGCTGATTACGGGAGATTTTTAAAATAATGAAGTTAATTTGGTAATATTTTTTCGAAAATTAATTACAAATAAAGTAAAAAATGAAATTGAGGCTCAACCTTTACGACTATGGTTAAATGTTAACACTATCCCTATCTTTTTTCGACATCGGCTCATATTTTTTAATAGACAGAAGCAAGGACAGTTGGTTCAGAGAAAAAATGTTTTACACATTAATATAATTTCTTAAAATAAATAGAATGGCTTAAATGAAGAAAAGGTTCCAGTAAGTCACTGGAAAATACTCATTTAACTGCCCTTCTAGTAGTGCTCGATTAAAAATCTGTGATTTGTGGTTTAAAGCAACAGTATTTAAATATAGTTTGTCCCTTTTATATAAACTAAAACTATTTTTTCTTGTACTTACTTTACATTTTCTCTTCCCGTTTGTCATGGAAAAGCATATTTCTTTCTACTGTACATTATTTTTTCAAATAGAAGTACATAATTAAAAATATGTTTAGTTTTTATCATGTGTGCAAACCCCATTTACTGTGGTAATATTTCCAATGTATTTTCTATTTTTAACAGACTTCAAAAAAGAAGTAGGTTCTCAATTCATCGGAATATATTTTTTTATGGATATTCAGCGACAATTCTTTACTATGTTGTCCGATTTCTGATTATTTTTTTGTTAGAAAGGGGGCTCCTCAGAGATGGTTTCTTAATATAAATTTGGTAAAGATCTGATGATGGGATTCATGAGAAAATAATCACTCTTCGTATTTTGTAGTCGTCAGTTTTTTTAAATTAATTTTGTAACTTATACATTTTTCAATGAATCAAAGTAAAAAACCGTTTAAATTGGGAAATTTCTAAAGTTCAGTATCTATTTTTTAGTTAGAAATGGAAAACTGGAGGAGAGATGGTAAAATCTCTGGTATGAGAAATAAATTCACATTTGACCTATTCTTGAAAATCATATACAGTTCCTTTAATCCCTTCAATTTGGATGCTATATTTCTTTGCTAATAAACTAATGCTAGAATTTATTTTTTATTTAAGAACAACTTTCTATTTGTACAATATTGGAGTTTCCAGATTGTTGAGAAAATGAAATAATTATGATATGATAATTAGCTTTTATAGGTTGTGTAATAGTCGAAATTTAGAATATTAAATAATTACTATGTATAAATTACACTTATTTACCTTAATATATTTGCTTTCACATTTATAATTTACAGATTTGTAGGTCATAAATAAAACACCAAATTCATTTTAAAATTTTATTTTTAGGATTAAATTAATATACACAAAATACATAACATAATAAAAAAATATAATAAATCTACAATAAATAAAAATACATTTAATTTGCCCATCATTATTAAGAATTCTAATTCTAGAAAATAAACATTCAATTCAGGATTTCTTTTTGGTTATGACAGGTTTCAAGTTGACTAGTAATTTTGTGTTAAAATTTACAGTTTGCCTAACGTATTGGATATGTCTACTTAGCCAGTTCCACATATTTAATAAATGTATAAAAAGAAATGGATTATTTCAACATAGGTACAAACAATAAAAATGTTATTACTGATAGTAGTTTACTGCTAAATATTTACTTTTTCTGAAAATAGGCAGGAAAAAACTATAAAATAATATTAAATATGGTTGAGAATGTATAAATACATAACATTTATACGAATTAAAAAGTGTTTAACAATATAAGTAGAGATACCAAGCTCCACAGTTATATGACTTAAAATTATTCATGCTATCATCTCATGAAATATTTTCAAATACTTAGCAAACACCTATATTACTACAAAGTAATGCCTATTTAAAAATAAAAATATATTGCTACAAGGCTATACCTCCGTCATAAGCCAAACCCCCATAACTGACAAATTACAAATATTTGAGGTTATTTGACCATTCTGATACTAACCCAATTTTCCTTTTAAAAAGTAAACAAAATACCAGCAATTTTTATTCTGAATCCTAAAAAGTCAACTTGATCCTACAATGTAACTAACATTTTTCTAGAGAATTCTTATCAAAAATCAACCCAAAACATTAAATCACACTTATTTATATAACTAGTTAAAAACATTATTCAACACTTGTCTATAATGGGGCATGTTCAAAAATTTTGAAATTTTTTTTATGAATAGTAGAGTTGAAAATAAAACTACATTTTTTTAAATTTTTTTTATCTATTCATTTGCCGGAGTTATGAATTTTTTTAAAATTTATGACGTCACCGGGAATAGACCAATAGGAGCTAGCGCACAACGTTGCCGGCTAGAAGGTTTACGAGAAGTGATGTACGTTCGTTTGTGTACTCCTTCTTACTTTTAGACTTCTAAAACATCGTTAAACAAATATCTTTTAAATATATAATATCAAATGTTTTTTGAAAGTATTATTTCTGTTGAAACTTTTACCATATTTAAAGTTTCATTGTTTTAAAAGTCACTTAATAATTCAGAAAATGGCAAAATGGCAGCACTGTGTATGGCATCTGTCATCATAGTGTCTCCATCAAGAATTTATTTGGAATTTGAGTGTTTAATTTTGTACTTTTTATAAATATTATGACTACGAAAAAGTGTTTTGTTCCAGAATGTGATAATGATTCACATTCATCTTCAAAAATATTTATTAATGTTCCTAGAAATTTGGAAAGAAGAAAATCAACCTTCTACTAGCGATGTTTCTCGTGAACTTTTTAATAAAAATACACCGGATTATCAAGATGTAGCAGCAATTTCTGCTAATTGTCCCCTTCAGGAAATTGAAAATGAGGCTACTATAAATTCTTAGGTGTATAACCTAAAAACCCTTCTGGAAGAAAATGCAGAATCTCCTGAAAGTTTTGAAGATACCGAATTTATTCATCATTTTGTGGAAGAACTAGTGATAAAGAAATAATGGAAAATGTGGGTATTTAAACAAACTGGTTCCTGGATCCCATATAATGGCAGATAGGGGTTTCAGAATATTCAGCTACTTGAAAACATGGGATGCACTTTAGTAAAGCCACACCTAGTGTATCACAGAATGAAAAAGTTCTCCAGAAGATGTACAATTAAGTAAAAGAATAGCATCTCTAAGAATACATGTGGAAAGAGTTATAAGAAGGGTTAGTTAATTTAACATGTTAAAACCACATTCGTGTGTGAATTTTAATCAAGTACATTTACTTAGTAATATCTGCATAATTGCTTGTTAACTTACAAGAACCTATTTTGTAAGAGTAAATATTAATTTAATAAACTTTTTTGTTTGTTTTTTAATTTACTTTACCTAATTATCACATTTCAGGGATTATAATGAGTTTTTAAACAGCCAATGTAATTTTTTATAAAATTTTAACTTTTCGAGCAAATCAAAGAGGAATGAGTACCTGTATATGCATAGATTTTTTTGGGACTAAAACTACCAAAACAAAGGCACCTATTTGCAGCAGTTTAAAATGAAACATTTGAACAAAAACGCCTATGTCACAGTGATAAATATTAAAAACAACCAAGTTCAGTTGAATGTGGTAGCAAAGTCTATATATTCCAATAAATCGGGTAACTACATGTGGTATCACTGGTGATAAATTTAAAAATATCACAATTCTTGCCACCTTTTTCAAAAAACCAGAAAGTGTGCCTTCTTATCAATCCTTTATGAAAATGACAACAGTGATAAATGTGAAAAAAAAAAACATTTAATGTTGCTATTCGTTATTATGATAGTAAAACATGTTTGCAGTTCCGTTTATTTTTTATGAAAATCTAAGTAAAAACAACCAATGTCAAAGGGTTATAATTTTTTTTCTGTCGAACCAAATATATCACAAAATTTAAAAATTGATCATAGGTCAAGCTAAAGTAATACCTTTATTGATAGTAGCTTTAAAAAAGGAGAAAGAATAATATTGACTTAAGTTATTATTATTAGCATTGGTGATTTTTAATAAAAACTCTTCAATTATTGTTTACAAACAAAAATATAAAAATCTGTGAAAATTTTATTTATTAACCTTTTAATAAAAAATGAGAAAAATGAAGTAAAAAACAATTTATTTACAAATAAAAAATATATATACAAATCCTAAGAATATAAAAGTATTGATTTATTTTCCTGTAGTGGATGAAGAGGTTTCTTTAACAATCTAGCCAAGTGTACATCAATATTTACGCATTTTGATAAATTAGAGCCTTTCCAACAACACTGCGTAGATGTTACAGATGGTTCCTCACTTCTTCTATGAAGCCACATATTTACAACCAACTGAAAAAAATAAAAGGGTTAGATATG